AAAAGAAAAACTAAGAAATCATGCATATAACTGGGTGTAGATCTATAATGAATACCTGCAAACTACTCACAATGAAAATCATTTAAAAAACGGTATCAAATGCAATGCATCATCTAACATAATATAAAAAACCATCTAAAAAAAATACTTTATACCTCGATTCTTATTAAAACCAAATTAAAAAGTATTTTCTAAATAAATTTTAACACAATCAATATAAAATATTCATCTTAACATTACAAAAATATCGTCAATTCTATATTGATTTCCCAAAAAATTTATTGTAAATTTCCAATATTTAATACCATTTTTGTACCGTGGTTATTGATGAATGTTTTTCACTATAGCACAACATGATTTTGTATTATATGTGGGTATGAAAATAGATAAGATACAATATTTACATACTTTAGGTTCCTGGAGTTTGTTATTTTGGGAGACTTGTCAATCTTAATTGGATTGTAATATGTTGATCTCCTTGCTTTGAGTTTTCGGTATCCTTTGTACCCAACTTTTGGTTCGTAATAAATTTATTTTTCTTATATAAAATGATTTTCATATATAAAATACAAGCAGACATATGTAAAATTATATGTTTTTTTAACCAAGACGGAACTATCATTAAAATAGGGTTTAGAAGAAGCTATTGTATGTAATATTGTAAATTTTGGTTAATTATTGTATTTTCATCAATAATTATGTGATGTGTAGTGAGTTAACTTGTTGTTGAGTGACTCTGGAAAATTAAGGAATTATTAGAGAGTTGTTAAGGTGTTAAAAGGTTTCTCTTATTGGAGGCGATAATGCTATGTGGAGTCATTCTGATGCTAATCTTCAACGTATAGACATTACTTGAACAATAATCCAAAATTTATATTTTCATTGTTATGAATTATTGTACGTGTATATATATATATTTCTGTATAGTTGTTCAATTGATTTAATTTTCGCTGCTTATAAATGATTCTTTAAGTATAGTAATTAATTAAGATAGATTGTTACATTGTATATTATACAACTTCATTTAGGGTACATCTCATCATTTCATATGTTTCTCCATTTCTTTTTATCCATGTTTCTTCATTGACAATACTAATTATTTTATTTATACAAAGGAACACGACGTAAATTTATTTTAATGTGTTTTGTGTTGATACGTTATTACACTTCTTTTGAACTTTCAACATTGTTTTTATACTTTTTTATTTTTACTAAAATGGATTTAAAAAACTTGTTTATTAATCAAAGTAATATAAGTTTAAAAATAATTTATTAAAATAATATATTTTTAAAATATATGATCAGTTTAAGGAACTTGTAAACACGCGTGTTGTTCATGCTTAAGTGATACCATGTCATGTGTACAAAACTGAAAATTATCATTTCTTTTTAATAGTAATATTTCTTTTTAAGAGATAGATTAAGAAACGTAATTATAACATGATATTTACGTTGTATTATTTTCTCTTATTTTATACGATAGATTTAAAAAGAACCATAAAGTAAACACATAAAAATAATAGTAGATAATAAAATACATTTTTATTTTTAAAACCAATAATTATATCTTTCTTTCGAAATACGCTTTTCACTTTAATATAATACTGTTCCTATTAATCAAGTGGTAACTCATTTGACCCAATAAAAAAGAAAATCTATATTTCCAAACAATACTTGGGTCCTTCTCACACGCTAATCATGAGGTGAAAAGATATATTTAAAAAAAATGAAGTAGATTAAATAACAGTTAAAACTTAAAAGTGTGTTCATAAATGAGGTTTTGAATTTTATATTGTCACGAATGAGTTCGGAATTCAATTTTGATCTTATCCACAATCTAGATAAAAAAAATTGTTATTATGTTATGTGCAGGCCAATGAACAATCCTCTTCTTCGTGCGAAGAATCTCAATGATCCGAATATTTGTAAAAAGGTGAATTTGAAATACACGCCACCTGCAAATCTGAAAAAAAAGAAAAACCTCAATCACACACAGTTTTTAACAAAATCGTACAGGATCTTAACCTTTATAGATTTAAGTTTTATAATAAAATAAATATGATGTGAAAAAAAAATTAACCATGAGGCATGAGGTATAATTATTTTGTTGACTACTCAGCACCTGATCAATATATATTGTAGCACAAGAGGTTTTGGTTTGGCACACACGTGTATACTATAATAATTATAATAATTAGTGAGGTTTAAGACACTTTATATCTTTAATAATTATATATATATATATATATATATATATAATATTTTATTTTCAACGTAAGCAAAATTTTTGATTTACATAAATGATTATTTGTACTAGTGCATTAAAAAAATATTTTATTCGTTATTTTAATACTCTGGACTGCAAACCTAGTAGTAGTAATATAATCTTCATATATTCTCCATACATGTTTAATTTACTTTTGAATTAATTTATTTAAAAATACAAAATTATGAAGTGGCTCTGAATAAATAATTAATCAGTCTCACACTATTTTGTGAATATCCATAAATTTAAACAATGATAAAAATATATTTATTAATTTTTATATTTTAATTTTATTTAAAAATTTATTTATTGATGTTTCTGTTAGTGAAAACATCATATTAAATTCAGTTAATATTATATAACCGTCTTAATTCGTCACTTTCAGATATGTTATTGGTAACATGAAAAATTAAAATAAAATTTTTAAAAATTACATAAACTAAAAATAATAATTTTAAATTTAACAGATCAAAAGTAATTTATTTTAAATTTAAAAGACTAAAATCATATTTAAATAAAATTTAAAAAATATAATGATGCACTAAAAAGTAAAGACAAAAATAATTATATATCCAATCTCTCATGTTATAGATATTATAGATATAGTAAATATTTGATTAAACAATAATTGGGCCGGAATCCGAAGATGGGAAAATGAGATTGTAGTCCGGCCCACCACTGCCACTGCACTGTGAGAGAGATCTTTAGAACACTCGGTGAGCAATGAACCTTGCTCATATTTCTGCAATAGAGAAACCAAATACATGTTCAATGTTGATAAAATTTAGCTTAATTCCCCCATAAGATTTTTCATTTCCTCTCTTTTTCCTCTAACACTGTGTTTTAAAGAAAGAAGAATAACAAGTATTGAGGTCATTATTAACAATATATAAAAATTATTAAAGTTTTTAACTCTTTAAATAATATTTTTTTCCATACATATCATAATACCAAGAATACAACATATCAAAAACCCTAATTATCTATTACAAATTATTAGTAGATTAGAAATTTTGAGATAAAGAAAAAGAAAAAGAAAGAAGAAGGTATGTTTAATTTTTATTTGATTTAGTTAAAGGAAATAAAAGAATAGGAAAACTCTCGTCGATCACTTTTCTTTTTTAAGGAAAGTCAACCTTACTTGATTAGTAAAAACAACAAGAAGAAGAAATAATAACAACAATAAAAATACTTATCAAACTATAATTTTAATTAATAATTAGTATTGTACTTTATTTTTAAACTATATATTCTGATTTGTTAGAAGGGTCCAACCATTTCATTTTCTACTAAGACCCGTAACCATTATTTCTCAAACTAACAGAATTAATGTACAATATTCTGGAAAAAATAACTAGTATCTTAATAGATATTTTTATACAAATTTCAGATTGAGATTTATCTATTTTAAAAAAAAAAAAAATCTAACAGCTACGACTACAACTAACTATTTTTTAATATTTTTTATAGCTATTTTATTTAAACGCTCTGTCCCGTTTATATATTATGGGGATTCCAAACGAAGGATTAAATAATTAAAAGATAATTTCGGTGTGGGAGCATCGTGTCACGCCTTATAATATATGATTGTTAATAAAATATGAATAAAATCTCAGTTAATTTTATATAAGATTCTACAAGTGCTTTAGATTTGATATCTATAGTAATAATTTTAATTTAAACAAATTTTTTTATATTCTTCAACGGATAACTTAAAAAAACCTTATAAACAAAATGTTTTAAAAATAAATATTATATGTAATCACACTTAAAAGTCTTTTTCTTTATTATTTAATTGCAAACTAATGTGCATAACAAGTTTTCTAACTTTTATGACAATTATTTTAAAAATTGTACTTTAATAGTGTATGTTAAAATGTATGTCCATCGATTAAACTCATATTTAAAAGAGAATATTTGATTAAAATTTATTAAACACATCGAAAATATCCTTCTTTATAATTTTTTTTTATTCTTCTTGATTTATTTGAATTCTACCTTTGGTTTGAGCTTTTGACCCTAAAGTATCCCTCAAATGAAATACTTGTTTTTTCGGTAATAAGAAAAAATCTAATTGTTCAACTTTGATTTAGAAATGTTTTTGTGAGATAACTAAAATCAAATAAAAAGGACATTTCAAAAATTTAAATTTTGATTACTCAATAAATTATGACTCAAAAAATCTCAAATACAATAATATTTATTTTTATTTATCATTCGTTAATTATATTTTTCTCTTATCTCTTTTTTATAATTATTGTCATCATTATTATCTTTAATACTTATTTTTCATAATTACTATTCTAATAATCACTATTATATTATGTTAATGTTATTTAAGTGAATTACATTAAAATAATTAATATTACAAAAATTATAATAAATTTCACATTGTTTTTCTTGTAATGTCATTGTCTATTAAACACCAATAGTGTGGCCAAAAAAAAAAAACTGCAACACAATTTTTTTAAAAAAGAAAACCAGTACAACAGAATATAGAAATGAAAAAAATAAAAAAAAAATCTAAACTAAAAATATTAAATAAATTTTATTTTTCATTATACTTAAGCAAAAGACTCTTTTATTTGTATGTTTAAACAAGAGAAAGAAAAGGTTAATAATAGAAGAGTCTTTTATCATGCATGTTTTGCACATGTTGTTAGAATCTTAAAAAATGATCACAATTGGGAAGCCTCTGAAGTCTGAACACCTCACAGTCCTTATAAATACTGAGCACTTCCTAGTGTTCTCCACAAGCCATAGCAAAGATGTTTTCAGGAGTAACAGGTCTGATTAACAGGGGCCAGAAACTGAAGGGCACATTAGTGTTGATGCATAAGAATGCCATTGACATCAATGCCCTTACCTCAGCTCAGAGTGCCTCCGGTATCTTCGGTGGTGCCATCAGTATTGTGGGAGGTGCCGTTGGCACCACTGTTGACACCCTCACTTCCTTCTTGGGAAGATCAGTGGCTCTCAAGTTGATCAGTGCCACCTCCGCTGATGGTAACTTCTTTTCTTACACACTCTTCCTTTCTTAATCTTTCTTTTTCATCAATTTTATCCTCCTTCTTGTAATACTTCTTTATATGTGTTTTCTGCAAAGACATGATTTTGAGTAGGAATAGGAATGAGACACACTAGTGTTATTTATCCTCCTCAATTAGGATTGTTTCGGGTGGAAGACACTCTAGTCTTAAGAAATAAAAATAAAAATAAAAATAACTTTAAGTTTAATGTAAATCTTGATTTTGAACAGCAATATGAATGATTTATGTGAAAAACATTAGTTGACATGGTTACAGAAGTTGAAAATAAACTTGTGTGAATTTTTTGTAGCGGGTGGAAAGGGAAAGGTGGGAAAGCAAACATTTTTGGAAGGTCTTGTTACTTCCCTTCCAACCTTGCGAGATGGGCAATCTGCATTTGATATTCACTTTGAATGGGACAGTGACATGGGAATTCCTGGGGCATTCTACATCGAGAATTTCATGCAAGTTGAATTCTTCCTTGTCAGTTTGACTCTCGAAGACGTTCCAAACCAAGGAACCATCCACTTTGATTGTAACTCATGGATTTACAATGCAAAGTTGTACAAAACCACACGCATTTTCTTTGCCAACAAGGTAAACCATTCACCTAGTAAAACAGTTTGTTGAATTTAATTATTTAAATTGTATTTGCTGATGAGTGAGAAAATATGTTGGATATGAATATATGTAGACATACCTTCCAAGTCAAACACCAGCTCCACTAGTGACGTATAGAGAGGACGAATTGAAGACTTTGAGAGGAGATGGAACAGGAGAGCGCAAAGAACATGAAAGGATCTATGACTATGATGTCTACAATGATTTGGGTGATCCTGACTCCAATGCCAGATTGGCTCGTCCAGTTCTTGGAGGATCAACATTGCCTTACCCTCGCAGGGGAAGAACCGGCAGAAAACCAACCAAGAAAGGTAAGGCTTTTGTTCTACATAGGACACAATCCTGCTTTTCATTTCTAAAATTATTCTTTTTAATGTTTCGAATATATTTTGTCATCATGTATCTTAACAGATCCTAAAAGTGAGAGTCGCAGCGACACTGTTTACCTTCCGAGGGACGAATCATTTGGTCACTTGAAGTCATCAGATTTCCTTGTTTATATACTCAAATCTGCAGCTCAAAATGTGATACCTCAGTTACAATCTGCACTTAGACTACAATTCAATGACCCTGAGTTTACTAGCTTTGATGACGTGCGTGGACTCTACGATGGTGGAATTAAGTTGCCTACTGATGTACTTAGCAAGCTTAGTCCAATTCCATTGTTCACAGAACTCTTCCGAACTGATGGTGAACAGGTCCTTAAGTTTCCACCGCCTAAAGTAATTCAAGGTACATCCCAAACATATATACTCCTAGCACTATTTATATTCATAATCATAAACATGGTAATAAATTGATGCATCTTTTGAAATGTTCTCATTTGGAGCAGTGAATCAGTCTGGATGGATGACTGATGAAGAGTTTGCAAGAGAGATGATTGCTGGTGTCAATCCACACATTATTAAAAGACTTCAGGTAACTTTACTATTCCATTATTAAGCAACTGCAGAAAACTGAAAACATTTTATCCACTTGCTAATTTGCAGCTGATAACCTTACCTCATTACAAATTGAATTTATTGCAGGAGTTTCCACCAAAGAGCAAGCTAGATAGCCAGCTCTATGGTGACAACACCAGTACAATAGCCAGAGAACAGTTGGAGCCTAACTTGGGTGGGCTCACTGTAGAACAGGTAAATCCACATTTTTTTCCCTTTACTTTTACAGTTACATTACTATGAAGAATTTGCTGCAAAATCGATTTGTTCAGATATGATTGAAATGAATCACAAGGACTAAAACAATTTTGGTTGAACAGGCTATCCAAAACAACAGATTGTTCATACTAGACCACCATGACACACTTATTCCATATTTGAGGCGAATTAACGCCACTGACACAAAGGCCTATGCTACTAGAACCATCATTTTCTTGCAAGATAATGGAACTTTAAAGCCATTGGCCATTGAGCTAAGTAAACCACATCCTCAGGGTGATAATTTTGGTCCTATTAGTAATGTCTACCTTCCTGCAGAACAAGGTGTTGAAGCTTCCATTTGGCTACTTGCCAAGGCTTATGTGATTGTAAATGACTCTTGCTATCACCAACTTGTCAGCCATTGGTATAAATTTTGCTACTCACATTCTTACTATGAAACGTAGCTTTTCTATTTATGAATTAGCTATTAATATCTCTACTTGTGTGACAGGTTAAACACTCATGCAGTTGTTGAGCCATTTGTCATAGCAACAAACAGGCATCTCAGTGTGGTTCACCCTATTCACAAGCTCCTTCTTCCACACTATCGTGACACAATGAACATCAACGCACTTGCAAGGAATGTCCTGGTCAATGCAGAGGGTATTATAGAATCAACATTCTTGTGGGGCAACTATGCTTTGGAAATGTCTGCTGTTGTATATAAGGATTGGGTTTTCCCTGAGCAAGCACTACCTGCTGATCTTATCAAGAGGTAATCCTCACAACTTATAACCATGTTGCTAAACAATTTAGATTCTAGGCCTATTCATTACTTGAGATGAAAATAAAAAAGTGACCTCAAAAATAAGTTTTTGATGTTAATGTTATTTTCTTTGCATGTTATCCAGAGGTGTGGCTGTTGAGGATTCATCTTCAACTCATGGCCTTCGTCTTTTGATTGAGGACTATCCTTATGCTGCTGATGGACTAGAGATATGGTCTTGTATCAAGTCATGGGTGCAAGAATATGTGTTTTTCTACTACAAGTCAGATGCTGCTATTGCACAAGACACTGAACTCCAAGCCTTTTGGAAAGAACTTGTGGAGGTTGGTCATGGTGACAAGAAAAATGAGCCATGGTGGGTGAAGATGCAAACTCGCGAAGAGTTGATTGAATCTTGCACCACTCTCATATGGACTGCTTCAGCCCTTCATGCAGCTGTTAATTTTGGACAATACCCTTATGGTGGCTATATCCTTAACCGACCAACTCTTAGCAGGAGATTCATGCCTGAGATAGGATCTCCTGAGTATGATGAGCTTTCTAAGAGCCCTCAGAAGGTGTTTTTGAAGACAATTACAGGAAAGAATGATGCCCTTAAAGACCTTACAATTATAGAAGTTTTGTCAAGGCATGCTTCTGATGAGTTATACCTTGGACAGAGAGAGGGTGGTGAGTTTTGGACTTCTGACTCTGAGCCAATAGCTGCCTTCAAGAGGTTCGGACAGAGGTTGGCCGAAATTGAGCAAAAGCTCATCCAAAGGAACAATGATGAGACACTGAGGAACCGTTATGGCCCAGTGAAGATGCCTTACACATTGCTTTATCCTTCTAGTGAGGAAGGCTTGACTTGCAGAGGCATTCCCAACAGTATCTCCATCTAAAGAGGGGTTTGTGCTTGATTTGAGATTTAAATAAAAGATGAGAAGGATTGCAATTTCTTTTACCCATGTATGGTTATTTATTGTCTATGTTTCCATGCTGTAATGGTTTGCATTAATAAAACTTCTGTGTTTTTACTTTCTACTTTGTACCATGCTAGCTAGATTTACGGTATGAATTGCATCTCTCATGTTTGGATCTCCAGTGTGATTATTGATTACATGATAGGATATAAAACATGACAAATAATAAATTCAAAACACTAATAATATAGAAACTGGTTCAAAATTAAGGAATTATGTTTGAGATATGGAAGTTATAACTGTTAAACACTAATATCAATCTTCATTTCATTTATTTCTTCTTTCTACTGCACGACTTAAAGATTATAAAGGACAGAGATAAATAGCCTGAATATATAAGAACATGATACATGGAAGGACCCTTCATCGCTTTGTTCTTAATTATCATCTATAGGCAAAAGAAGAGCTGAGTAGATTTTTTTTTTGCTAACATTAGGATTATAAAAAAAGCTAGTTGTTGGGAAATTAATTAAGAAGGAAAATTGAAAAATAACAAATGATGGATGATGCAACCGTTGAAAACGAATCATGAATTATAAATTTACAATGACATGCAATGAATATTAAAACCCAAGATGAAATTTGAAACTATATTTATTTTGAATAGATAATATTAATTTTGTAAAATGTAAACAACGACTTTTTTTCTTGACAGCACCAACGACTTCTTTTTCATTTGAGAAACTAATAGTAATAGGAATTGTTGATTTGAATACAGATTGATTATATAAGTACGAAATTGAAGTATTCAATCACTTGCGACATAAAATTTAAAATGTTGCTGTGTCAAAAAAAAAATAGTGAGCTTTCAGTTTTCAACCACATTTTGCTTTCAATATTTATATATTAGAATTAGATGTCGCATCAAAATAGTAAATGATCATAACTGTTTATATATAATTATTGATTAAATCATGTCATTAAAATGTCTAGTTATAATTAATTTCATCTCACAAGTTAATAGTATCATGAAATTATTGTCTATTACACATGATTAATTATGTTTATAAATATGATTAGTAATTACCTTTATATCTAAGTGATTAAAATTAAATGAATGTAATTTTATATAAGCATATTAATAATTCACGAGAGTGTTAAAATATCTAATAGTTAACTTTGTTTCACAAGTTATTAATTATGTTATAAAATTATTAATATTTAATAGTAATTGATTTTATTTCATAAATAATTAATATTAACTATATCTATAAACTAAAGATAAAAAGGAATTCTGTGTCTTATTATTGTTTTGGATTAAAGTGTAGAAGTTACAAAATATTTGTGCAATTTCTTTTTGTAAATAATAATTTTTATTTAAATTAATAAAATAAATTATTAAATTGTCCTATACAAAGTTGTACAGTTACCATAATAAAAGATAAAAATGTCTAAACAATTGTGTTTGCAAATATATATTGTTATAGATAATTCAACACTCATACAGAACACAAATAATCTTTATGTCTTTTGATGGGTTTCTAATGGTTTGGGCTTTGGGTTACTACTAATTCGGTTGGATTTGGTGTTTGGATCATTATATGAAGTTGGGCTCATCTAGTTTCATATGTACGAGCCACATGTGCTGTGTGCACGTAATTTCTTACGTTGGGCTTTAAGGTTATTTCTCTTATTTGTGGTTTTTACTTTGGTTCATGATATATACACCTCCTTTTTTCTATAAATACACCTCCTTTAAAAAAATAATTAAAATTTTAAAATTTTCTTAATTTTTTGTTTTAAATTTTTAAATTTTACATCCACAATATTTAATTTAGTACTTTTTCTTCATATATCTTTCTTCCTTTTTTCAATTTTTACATGCACCCCCTTATTTTTCCTTCATCCCACCTATTTTGGTAGCATTTGAAAATTGAAAGAGAAAAAAAAAGTGTGTGAGTAAGAAGAAGAAAGTAGTAAATTGAAAGTTAAAAGTGTAAAATTAATTTTTTTTAAAAAAAATTATAATATTTTATAAATTTTTTTTTAAAAAAGGAGGTGTACTTATATAAAAAAGGAGGTGTATATACCATGGGCCTTTTACTCTTTAGGGAGTCACGTAATGGCATTACGAGAGATCGAGAACATAAATAAATATAGAAATAAAAATGATAAATTACGTTTTTAGTTTCTCTATTTTTATAAATTTATAATTTTGATCATTTTATTTTTAAAATAGAGATATTTAATTATTTTAATTTAAAAAATATGAAAATTTTATTATCCCATTAAATTGATATTTATTAATTATTAAATTTTAACCTCTGATCATATTTAAGAGATGTAACATTTATTAATATAATATTTAAAAATTAAAAAAATATAAATAAGATCTTTATTACTAAGATAAATAATAATTATCCATAAAAATAAATAGAAACAAAAACAATAGCTTAATATCACTCGGCATGTTCAATATATCAATATATAATCACATCTAATGTGTCGTAACGCATATTAACTATGGAGATCTTCTATAACACAAGATGAACAGTTTAAATGATTAGATCGTATTAAATTATAACGACTGACATAAAACTAGAAAACAATGGCTAACATAAAGGTCATAAAATAATAGTTAGCATAAAGCTAGAAACAATGACTAACATGAGATAAATTGATTTATTAGATTTTGTCACTTAAACTAAGAAGTATGGTACTATGTCAAGATAGAACAGTTGGATATGGGTCTACCATGACATTAACCTGCAACACTAACTCAACTATGGGATTAGCCCACCGACTATTCTTTAAAGACCATAATCCTCCAATATTAGGTTAGAGACTAAATCTTCAATTTGGCATTTTACTTGATTAATCATTTAACTAAAATATGATTCGACCAGTTCCATACTAAAGCCACATAGACCCTAAAGGGAATCAACTTTTAAAACAACTTAATTCGCCTCTAGCATGTATGTATCTCAACTTAAACATGTATCTTAACCACATATTCACAACTTTACCACTTTATACAACATACAACTTTACAACTTTCAACTTTCATCAGATTAATCAACAATATGCAACTCAATATCAATAGTACTCATCATCAATTTGTTATCATTTATCATTTAAATATTAACAATTCATTATATTTCAACATTTAATATCTAAGCACATCATATAGTACCATATGTTATAAGAGAAATAATATATAACATCTTCAACATGTAATCATTAACTAACATATAACAACACTTTTGCATAACACAACACAACTAGAGTTTTACCAACAAAAAAAATAAACTCATATTTATCTCATATAAAAGATAAAAAAGATTACCTACAACTCTTATGAAGATCTCAAATTCTAATTCCATTATCTACTATGTTGAAAATATTAAAAATTGTATCAGTTTATGTAAAAGCTAATAGCTTGACTTTTACTTACTAAAAAGATCATAACTTGAGTTTTAGACCTCCTTTTTGGGTAATTATAGTGTCATTTGAAAGTTAACATCCAGGACTATAACTTTCATGAGGACACGAAAATTGATTTCGACCTTATCACATCCAGCGCGACATTTTTTTGACCAGTGCGGGTGTAAGGTCTGCACTTCGCGAAACTAAAAAATTTTGAATTTCCCAAACCACCAGAACCCATACTTAACTCATCTACTAACTCCAAACTTCACTCTAAACCAACATAACTCATATAATCATCATTATAGGACATGATTCTAACCACGAAAACAACATGAACACAAGAAATTTTCAGAAATCAACCAACTCATTAAGTCACAACCATACTCAACAAAAATGCAATAAAATTTAGCCCACTTCATCTAACTCAACCAAGCATCTAACAAGAATTTTGACAATCAATATATTATATTTTCGACCCATTTCAGCTTGCAAAATACACAGAAAAATAGGTAAACTTCTCTTACCTCTCTCAAGTTCAAATAGCCTAGAAACACAAAAGACCAAAGACTCTGTATGGAAACTCTCTCTTTCAGAAACCCTCAACCACTCAATAACTACACAACTAGCAACCAAACAAGACAACCAACTTCAAGAACGCCTAAGGATTCCAAGAGTTAGGGTCAGCTTCACAAGCAAGGGAAAAGGGGGGAGAAAGGTTCAGTCAAGGTAAGGATACTCTCTGACAAAAGTTGATCTTTCTCTCTTTTGTTCCTTCTTCAAAAAATAAGTTATGAGCTCTTAGAATGAGAACCCATTCCTGACTCCTTAGAAAAACTCAGTCAAACCCCCTCCTTTCTCAAACTAGCCCAAAAGACTTAGTTCATACTAAGTAAGTCCAAAAGAACAAAAATCACTTAAAACAACAACAATAAATTAATTACCTCAATAAAATAAATTCAATTGAAACTAGACACCAATAATTAATTAAATTAAAACACAACAACGCAAATAATTTAATTAACAAATCATTAATAAATTAAATTCAACTTAACAAACAATTTAAATTAAACATGAACCTTATAATGATTGTTGCAAATATTTGAATAAAAGAATATAAATATAATTGTCTTAATAATAACATGTATATTTGAACTTTTATTGAATTTGAATATCATTAAACATATTTTTTAACAATAGTAGATGATTTATTTATAGTAGTGTGGGGCATATACGAATTTGGAAAGTAGTATTTAATGAAAAGTAAAAAATAAATTTGATAGAAGAGCTTTCCATTATCATTGGTGGTACCATTGGTGTTATTGGCACCACACTTCTTTCTTGGAAAGATAAATGACTCTTTGATTGATTAATGTTATCACTGTTGATAGTATGTGAATTTTCTCTTTTGTTTGTTTTTAGTTCTCTTGTGGAGACGTAAACTAAAACAAAGAAATTGATGTTAAGTGAAAAATAAGTACAAAAGTTTGTCTTTTTTATTATTTGGATGATAAATAATTGATTAATTAATTTCACTTTTTGTTTAGTTTGAGATGAGTATATTTAAAAAAACATGTTTTATATTCTTCAACAGTAAACAAGATGTTAAAACATAAAGGTAATTAGAAAAATTGTCATTTTCTTCCTACCATGAATTTGGTGTATGTCTATCACACTAATGTAGTAATATAAATA